ATGGTTGTCAACCGATTGGGTCAATGGTTTATTGAGGTTCAAATATAGAGCTGTCAAAATTGAACCCGACTAACCCGCCCAATCCACCCGACCCACAACCCGTCCGTAACCCGATTTCACAAAAAGTCAACCACCCGTAACCCGAAACCAATTGACCCGTAATCCGATCAACCCATAACTCGATGAACTCGTTATCTGATCCAACCCATAACCCGACTCATCTATAACCCGAATGATTCATAACCAAAATAACCCGTAATCGAACCGAACCCAACTCGAATAACCCGAATGACCCGAATGCTTGTACAAAAATTCAATGTATACAATATCATATTTTTAAATTTACCAAGAAAGAATTGTTGTTCTCATAATAATTGAAAATTATTTGTAGAATTGATGGTATAAATTGAAGTTTTTTCTTAAATTTTAATTTTTAAAATAATAATATGTGAAATATCTTTTCATTCATTTTTTTATTTTATGAAATTCAAAGGATAACTTGTTGAAGATAATAGGAAGAGTTAGACACAAATTCGTATCTCCACCACCAATAACTATATTAAAAAAATCAACTCTTGAAATCAATGAAATCTCCAAAATCAATGAACCCTATCAAGATATATAAGTGGATAGTTTACCATTTTTATTTCATTCTCAACTTTTTACTGATTTTATTTATTTTTTATAAATTAATAAATCGATGATTCAAACTAGATGATAATATCATATTTGAGCAAACCGTTGTTCGACCCATGAGTTTTAGGATGAGATGTTACCGTGAATATATAAAAAATTATGAAGATATATAAGTGGGTGATTCGGAATGATGTTCATAAGTCTTCGTGGAAATGAAGAGACACACATCTAGTTCATAATATATTTATTTAAGATGATTCATTTCGAGATGTATAAGCATATAGTCTACCTTTTTTACTTCATTCTCAAATTTTTACTAATTCAATTATTTTTATAAATTAATAAAACAAGTGAAGTTACAATATCTCGCCATAAACAAAAAAAATTTAGAACCAACAACAAAGCTTTTATATACACTATTTTATTTATATTTAGTTTTTATACTAACATAATGGATATTTAATTTATATGTGTAAAATATTATCATATTATCATTTTCTTAAATTTTGTATCATTACCTACAATTTATATTCATATATTGATAGTTTGTAAAACAATATTTTCTGTCAAGAAGTAAATGATCCAATGGGTTGACCCGAATAACCCGAAAACACAATTCTCATGGAGGACATTTTTCACCACAATCTCTGTTACCATTCATTGAGTTACGAAGCAAAAATATTGCGACAACAACATTGAGATAAAGTCTTTGTTATGGGGTGGAACATCTACAATATTTTTTCCATTGTGCAATATATTGATTGAACACACTTTTGTGTGCGTTACTTGGATTTTTTGGGTTTCAAAATATATTTTAATTTTTGTATCTTTTATTCTCAAGACATATATATTGTGCAAATTTTTATGTGCTTTTCTGGAATCATATACCGAACGTGTATCTTAACAAACCGTTTGCAAATGGTTAATAATTGGCCAGGTCGAGCCCACATCCAATTTGTACTAATTAGAAAGGCCCAACTTATGACCCAAAATTTTTGTCCCGTCGGCCACTTCTTCCAAACCCTATCGCCGCCAGCCTCCTTCACTTTTGTCATAAATTTGGTATGGGAAATACTATCTAGCCATGTATATGATGCATTTCTGGTCCCTCCCATCCTTTTCCCTCACCACAAAAGCTACGAATCTTCTCTTATCAATCTTTGCAGAGAACCAATTTCCCCCATGTATTTCTATTCACTTGCCCAAGTCACAGCTTGCTTTCAAATTCAGTGTTCAAACACGACTGACCTTATGCCTCCAGGCCATAACCCGATTCAAAAGAATCCTAACTCTTTAAAACATCTCTCATGTATAGAGAGTTCCAGATCTCATGCACATCCACAGCCTATCGAGTTCTAAGCCACTATAATATGAAGGGCAATCTATGTTGTCGATTGTTGAGACTTCTGTCAAGGTAATGTTCTTTCACATCTTAACACAATCTTGTTGAAAGAGTAAGAAAATGGTCATTTGTACTCAGTTCAGTAACTATATTTCCGTCAATTTGCTCACCTATTCGCTTTCTCTGTGTTCTGCATATTTCTCCCGACCTAAAAACCTTACCTTCTCGATTTTAGACACTATAACTAAATTTGGTACGACTAGAAATTTACTGTCTATTTGTTGTTAAGTAACCCACTGGACTTAGGGAATCATTTATTTCTTTTGTGGGGTACACAAAATCCAGACTGACTTTTGGATTCAAATTCATGTCTTTACTTAGATACATAATTGCTACCATGTCAGCACCCCACGTTCAATTCCATAACCTACCCCCCCTCCCCCCGCCACTTGGGATTTGAAATAGAGAGTGTAGGTAACTTCCATATATATTTGTACAACAAGCTCCATCATTTCGAAGAGAAGAACTGATTTGAGCTTTTTGTTGTTTCAATAATGTCAATCGTGCCTCTTCGAGTCTTTCCCATTTGGGACGAAATGTGGATGCTGAGGATTAGATTTCTCAAATTATGGGAAAAATTATCCCACAGAGGTATGAATCTTATTCATGTCTTTCAATGTGCATATCATCACTGAAACCTCAACAATTCATCTTTATATTTTGTGAAGGGGGAGTTGGTTGAGGCCATTATTCGCCGCCCAGATGTGAATCGCTTTCTGCCATACCTTTTTGAAGGAGCCATTTATAGAATACTTTATTTTGATGAGGAAGAGAATGTTAGCCTCCATCGAGCAGCAGTCAGTGATATTCGGCCTGCTTTTAATGCTCAAACGATGTTGACTCAGATGGAGGAAGTTACTGACATCCAAGTTTTCAGCTTCCGCTTTCTGCCCCGCAGTCAATTCTTCCGTGCTCATGGGAATCAAGAGTATCTACCAGGTATATGTTCTGTGTGCCTTCTTGCTAATACGAGCCATTATTTTTCCAAGCCCAACCCTTTAATCCAAATTATTTATTGCTCGTCAAAATTTGGTTGGTGTCATACATCATGTGCATCTACCGAGGAAACACATCACCATCCGATTGATTGAGTTTGTTCATGATTTTTTTTCATTAGTTGTTATTTTGCATGCCAGAAACAACACAGTTAAATAACATACCTTATATATATATGACTACTTCGGTGCACTCATAAAATGAGTGCGTTCAATGCACCCAACTCAAAAACTAGTTTTAAGGTGTCGGATTTTGAATTTTAATTTGTAGAATTAGTGTAATATGATGATATAACATATGATAACAACTAATTAGTGAATTACCCTAAGTCCTAAACCTCCAATTTTGAGTTCTATCCCTAAACCCCAAATTATAAACCCTAACCCTAAATCTCTAAACTCGAAATCCTTCAAATTAAAGTAAATCTTTAATGGTTTTTGTGCAAATTCATGAGTGTTATTGCTCATCACATCATAAGTGATGATTGACATCATTTTGATATAAATCGCATATTTAAAATGACGGTTTTGAAGCGAGTGCAGTGAATGCACCCAAAAAAGTGAGTGCACTAAAGACACCACCATATATATATATATAGGGGTGCTAGCCAATGTATTCTTGTGGGATTCAAGGATCGCGGGTTTTGAAAATGTCATATCTGATGCTGAAGCTACAGGATAGGTGGTCGTGTTCACCTCCCTGCATATTAATGAGCAAGAAGGTAAATCAAATTTACGAATTCCTATTGGTTGAATTATGCGGCCTGAAATTCAAATTCTTGTTTCATTTTGTTTGCTTTCTCAAGTATGAAAATTATGCATCAAAATGCTTCATATTCTTTGTTTAGGTCATTAGCCAGCAACATGAAACAATTTCACTATGTTTCAGTACGCAAATGTTGTTGCATAGAATAAGAACAATTAATTTCAATATATTATCCCCGACTGGTCGTACATTTGGTTTATTTTTGGCTAAATTGCAAGTTTGGTCACTCGAATTGCTATAAAATTTCACATTTGGTCACTCGAATTCGTTTATTCCATTCGTAGTCACTTAAATTAGTTGAATAGTCCAAGTTCGGTCATTTTCCGTTAACCTCCGTCAGACTCCGTTAGTGCCGCAGTTAACTGCTGACGTGGCTAACAGAGATGCCTAGTCACCCAATTCTAACCCAGGAAAAAACAGAAATTGACCCGCCACGTCAAAAAAACATGCCACCTCATATAAACACAACCCAACCCACCCAACCTATAAAAAAAAACCATTAACCCACCCAGAAATCGAACCCGTGACTAGGGGTGGAAATCGGTACGGTATCGGTATCCCAATACCAAATACCGAAATCCCGAATACCGAATTACACGCTAAAATCAATCCCAATCCCAATCCCTAAATAATTTCGGTATCCCAATCCCAATCCCTAAATAATTTCGGTATCCCAATCGGTACCTCGGTATCCCAATCGGTATTATCGAATACATAATTAATTACCTTTGCAATTAATAATTAAATATATAAATGAGATTTTATTGTTTAATTTAGAGCAAAGAGACTAAGCAAATAGTCTTGAGTTGCCTAGAGCTAACATCTTAAGTTCTTGTAATTGGTAATTTTTAATTTGACGAATTTGAGGTTGAGAGACGACTAATACTAGTGTGAAATAGTGATGTAATGATCTATGTATAATTAAATGACACTTTTGGTGGTTGAGGGTCGCGTAGTATTGAATGAGAGAGTCTAGTTGGGAGGATAAAATACACACTAGCTTATATTTCGGTATTGATCGGTATTTCGGTATATACCGATCCCAATCCCGTAATCCCTAATACCGAATAACAATTGAAATTCAATCCCAATCTCAATCCCATAAAATAATACGTGTATTCGGTAATACCAAATATAGACAAATTCGGTACGGTATTCGGTATATCCCAAATACCGGTACCAAACTTCCAGCCCTACCCGCGACCCATCCACCCTTCTTCTTCCTCCTCTATACCCTGCTTTCGCCGCCGCCGGAGGGATTTCCCTCGATCTCCCTGCTGCAGCCCTCGCCGCCGAATCCAGATTCGCGAGGAAGAAGAAAGTGAGAAGGAGAAACCAAAAAAGCCGGTTCTTCACCATGGTCCTTGGCGTGTGCCTCCATCAGAGGTTTCTCCCAAGCCATCACAACACCTTTACTTTGGGAGTCCAAGAGCTTGTCTTCGCTAAACCTAACCCTATCTTCCCAATAATCCCCATTGGAGTTGCTGTTGTTCTCATTTGCTCTCCTTGCAATGGTTCCAAGAATCAATTCAGCTTGAATTCCTGTATGACAACACAGAGAGCTTAAAATGGCCAGTTCACCCAATCTACTTACAGCTACGGGCACTTGAACGACAGATTTTGGCAAATTTGAACGCCTAGCAAAAGGATAAAATGTCGGATTCCAACAGCGAAACATAAACAATTAGTTGCGGAAGCTAGAGGAGAGAGTTGGCAAGCAATAAAGTCACTAATACCAGCATTAAGGAGAATATAGAAGGCTTCCTGGTGGCCAGCATCCATGGTGAAGTCGCCAGCAGAGTGATTAGAAGGGGAAAGAGCATTCCAAGGAGCGCCAGCTTCTCACTTTCTTCTTCCTCACGAATCTGGATCCGGCGGCGGGGCTGCAGCAGGGAGAGCGAGGGGAAATCCCCCCGACGGCGGCGGAACATGGTATAGAGGAAGAAGAAGAAGGGTGGATGGGTCACGGGTTTGATTTCTGGGTGGATTAATGGTTTTTTTAGGTTGGGTGGGTTGGATTGTGTTTATATGAGGTGACATATTTTTCTGACGTGGCAGGTGATTTTTTTTTTCTTGGGTTAAAATTGGGTGACTAGGCATCTCTGTTAGCCACGTTAGCAGTTAACTGACGACACTAACGGAGTCTGACGGAGGTTAACGGAAAGTGATCGAACTTGGACTATTCAACTAATTTAAGTGACTACGAATGGAATAAACGAATTCGAGTGACCAAACGTGAAATTTTGTAGCAATTCGAGTGACCAAACTTGCAATTTAGTCGTTTATTTTTTATCATCCAAAACTTGTCTCTTCAGCTAGCCCTAATATTTACTTGCTTATTCATTTATTTTGACTATGCACCATAAGATACTATTCGTTTCGAACATCTCGAGCTACAAAGGTCTATTTTAATATTTGTTGTCCTCGCCTCCACCCTTTCTTAGATCGGTAACTGTTACACGACTCTCTTTTAAATACTGTTCCATTCCTGCTTCAACCCACTATAATTTTATTTGTTATTTTGCACTACTCAATATAGGAATGATGAACTAAACTTAGGACCAATTAACATGGTTGAAAATCTTTCATATGGGGAAGTTGTGGCTGTATCACAATACTACTGGTATGAGGTAGTGAAAATCGGTATAAAAAGAGGTCGAAGTCGATCAAAATAGAGAAAATTTGTGATCAATATGGAATGATCAAATTTTGTTCCATAAATAAATGAAGTCGTTTTGGTGGAACTAACTAACAAAAGGAAAGGTAATTCTTCGATTCAAGTATGTACATTTAGATGTTGATTTTATTTATTGATTTTATTTATGAGGTAGTATCCATTCTGCTACTCTTAGACCCTTGCTGAAATTCCTCATACGGTTTCCCCGTCCAATAGAGTTTTACCCGAGAGATTGACACCTTTCACCAACATAGGCAATCTTGATTTCACTTTTGGGTATTCTAGCAGGTTCACTAAACTTATATCCCTCTTACTTCATTACTCATGACTCTTCTTCTTGATATTACTCGCTAGTTCTAGATGACGTCCTTTATTCTTGATATAGTCATCTAGGTTCTCATATTCTCTTCTTACTAATGTACCTTGAGTCCTTGACTTATAAGGTTCTCCCTTTGACTAGTCTTAACGACCACGATTCCACCTTACTTTCTTGATGGACTTCCTATGGATTGATTGTTCTCTACTGGTACTCAACCTAATGCTTTTTTGTTGTCTGTTGTACTCCTGCTTTGGCCCGTCCTAGCTATCTTCCTTGACGCATACATCGCCCGGTCGAAGACCACCGTTTTGTTTCTATAACGTCCTATGGTGTTCGCATTGCTTCTTTACTTTTACTACTCTTCCGTTGTTGCTTTGTACTATATTTGGTCACCAAACTCCGTTGAGTATCTTCTCGTTATTGGTAGGGTTAAAGCTTCCAATAGAGGATTTCCTTGGGTAGGTTTTAACATACCTCATTCACGTCATTTGTCTCAACCGATGCTTGTACATAGCCTTAATCTCTTAGTCATGGCTCTTAGTGGCTTAACTAAATATCACTAATTTATCCTTAACTGGCCTTCTTTTATGGATGACATCCCACTATGTCGTACTCGCTCAGAGTGGGGCACCTTGGGTAAGGTAACTTAATGATTTCCTCCTTCTTGGTAATGCTTTTCCTCGTCGTACTCCACTATGCATTTTCTTGAACACGAGTCACCTACACATATTCTCAATCCTTCATCGGAACTTCCATGTGTTTCCTCGAATTCTCTGCCATTCACTAGAACATTTATTGAACATTCCACTTACTTGTCTATACTCGGTTGGCTTAATGACTTATTCTATAGCTAGTTCCGAGACCTCAGCTCTTAGCCCTCTAGTTCCAACTTAGTAGAGAGGTTCCTCCTTCTGTCACCCCTCTTGTACCCTAGGAGGTAGGTGTTCCCTCTATTTAAGAGAGGACAATCCCATAACAGATCATCGTGAACTCTTGCATACCCCTTCCAACGGTCCCAACATCCTCCTGACCTTTTGTGATCTGGGTAGTTTGTAGGGTCTCTACTATCCTCCTTCTAACTCGGTGTTATCTTGGTATCCAACTCACGCACTTCTGAGAAGTGGTTCTCTATTCGTACTGCCATCTACTAGCTAACTGTTATTCTCTCTCACAATCCATGTCTTTTCTTATGTATTGACTCCCCGCTGTCTTCTACATGGCATGCTTTAGACTTTGGTGGCACTTTCCTCCACGTCTCGTCCAATGGTGGTCGTACTAGAACCATAACTTGTCCTCTACATCATTTATCTCGTTGCTTGTCTTGTTTCTTTTAAAGGCTTGTCATCGGCCTAACTCCCCATGGTCATGTACCCTCTTCTGTAGTGACGTAGTTTAGGTATAAGGGTTCCTTTGTCGTCATATGTAAATGACCATGCCTCATCTTCGCCTTGACTTATTGACTTCTTGACGTCCTTTCATACTCCTTATAACCTACTTATTTCCTCCTTCACTTCCTTTATACTACCCTAGCATTTCTTAAAGTCTAAACATTCCTCTGCTCCTTGTCACTGTGCGGTAATGGCGTTGAGCCATCGACCACAAAAACTAGTCGAGGGACTTCTCGGGGTACCTCTTCGTTTCTTGACCTGTTGCCCACTTTCCACTGCTTAGGACCAAAGACCCTAACATCATCCTATTATCATAGCTACTGGCTTCTGGTGATTGTAACTCTTCCTTTGGAGATTTATATTTCTCCCCTTTGTTTGTCTTAGCTCATTAGATCATCCACTTGTTTCCTAGTAGTAAAATCCTCGTACTACTCTCTCAACTCATTCAAAATCATTAAGGTATTCTCTTTCAATTGGCACCTGGTGTTTGGAGTTGAAGTCCTCGCACATTTGATTCTACCTCCACAGACCTTTGCAACGTTCCTCCTTCCTTCTCTAGGTTGATGATGATGATCTGTTTGCTAATGTCCGAGTAGTTGGTTAACTAATTGAGAAACTACTATCCATCATGTCGATGAGATACTTGGTCTTGAGAGCCTTTGAGATTCTACTTGGGTTGGTCACGTTTCTTTCATTCTTTCTTTCTTACTGGCGATAACCATATGCCTAAATCTCTCATTTGACAAACCACGACATGTTAACTAAATCGCGTCCCAACCTATTCTTAAACAAACGCACCCTGGGCTACCATCCTTTCGTGTCGTGCTGTCATAGTTATTCACCTTAATATGATTAGAGTAGACTGGAGATTCTATAAACTCTTAAAAGAAGATCCTTGACTCGTTTTCCTTTCATTTAAAACAAAAGCCTTTAAAACTGAGACCGATATTCCAGTATTCCTTGGAGACCAAGGAACAGAGGAAGACTGGCTCTGATACCAAAATGAAACACCCTAACCCGGCTGGGTACTACTTTTACTAAAATGCCCTCGATAAATAAAATGCTCAAATCTTAAATTGCTGCGGGAAAAATTTTCATAAATAAAATACTGAAAACACACACTTGTAGTTCAGAGCAAAGCCCTAACACGTGGGCAAATTAAACTCAAACTTTAAATCTCAATCTGTTCTCCAGTTTATACTCATAATCATAAAATGTAAATAACTAGGTAGTCTATGTCGTTGCTGCTACTGAAAATCTTAACTAGGCATCCTCCGTGACGCTTGCACTGCCCTCCTCTAGCTGGTTGATCTCGAACTCGCTGCTCTCTAACTGCTCCTCTAGCTAGCTGCTACCGATCTGGTTCTCGCTCATTCCCTTACTAAGGCCTGGTGAGTGAGTTGGGGTCAGTCTACGCCCTTACGTTTTAATAATTCTAATACTTGAGTACTTTACTTAAACACTTAAGTTTGACTAGTGGAAGTTGTTTGTACTTCCAATCTTAATATCTTAACTCTTAAACTTTGAGGGAGTTGAAGTTACTCTCCTCTCTTAAAGCTCAAATCTTGACTTAAATACTTGACTGACATGGGGATCCCTCACTAGCTAGTCCGGTTGCCAACTCATACGTATGAGAAGTCATCCAGGCTTTCCTTAAACTTAAACTTAGTTAGGGGAGTCGTAACGATTCATCCCCCTATCATCTTAAACTTATCGTGGTGGCTCTTCACCACGATTCTCAAAAGCATAACTGCTGCTCTATCTCAAAATGTCTCAAAAGGCAACGGACTGACGCTAGTGACTAAAAACACTTAAAACGACTTCACCTTCTTGAAGGTGAGTTACTTCTTAAAAAGAACTTGTTTCTTAAACTTTAACCATAGCTCAAACATAACGCTTTAAGGTAAATAGCACAAAATCACCTCAAATAGCACAAAATCACCTGAAATCATAGCTCAAGCAAAGCACAAATAAGCAACCATAAACATAACCAAGCAACGGTAACCAATTCGCTAAAATACTCAAAATCATAATACTTAAAAGAATACGTAAGGCGTATAATTTACCCCCTTTACACTCACCTTACTTCCGTCGGAACTGGCTTGATTTTGCTCCAAAGTTTCCATACTCGCTTCCACATATTACACTCGTACTTGGTTGAATAAAATTGGAACAACGACAAATGAAATTAAATGGACCGACTTTACTTTGGTTGTTATTGGCCGCCCTGAATCCGCCGGCCCTCATGCTTGCTTCCCCTCGTCGGCGGTCCGTGCCACAGGGCAATAATCATGTGTTGCTTAAGCAAGCATCTCTCATAGTAGGGAGAATGACTATGCGCTTTTGCCAACACCACATGCTTGGTTATGTGCCGCCTCATGCCTGCTTAGTAATGGCCGCCTCCTGCCTGCTTAGTAATGGCCGCCTCCTATCAGTCTGTTGAATCGTCAACCTCCTGAGTCGGCTCCTACTTGCATGAATGATGGTGCTGCTTACTTGTGACCCGAAACTCTATTAATGTCCGTAACTTTCTCATTTTATGTCGAAATTCGACACCGCTTGAACCGATAGTTCACAGTTTAAGTCCTCCTCGACATTACGGTGAAACTTGACCAAAGGGTATAACAGTCATTTTGACTTTTGGGAAGAGCGGGGTATAACACTTATTTCGTGTGATTTTATTTAGTGTAATTGTGATATGTTTGAATTTTCTAGAATAGTGTTTTATGTATGGATAATTTGTATGAGAGAATTGATGTTTGAATTATATTTTGATAAGAACTTGTTATTATAAATTTTTTACCACAAAAACCCATGGATGCCCATGAACCCACAGATACCCAGCCGGTTGGGTTGAGTTTGAGTTTTCCAAACCCGGTGGGTTTTACCCCGAGTTTTTTTTACGAATAAACCCATGGGTTTGGGTTTGGCAAAACCCGACCCAATCCGACTCATTGCCATCCCTACTTACTTATAATATGTTCTTCTTACTTAACTTGAAATGGGATCCCACACTCGACCTAACTAGCATAACTGTTCAGCACCAACGTATCATGAACATAACCCTCCTCATCTACAAGGAGTGACATGACATACTCTCCCCATCTATAGGGAGTAATGGTGACCGCGTCGGACACAGATCATGACATACATATCATGGGGTTTCCTCACTGTGGGAAACACAATACTGTGTGCTCTGTAAGCAATTGTCATGTACCTCATACGTATCATGACCCTTAATCTACAAGGTGCTCCTCGTCTACAAGGAGTAAGGTAACCATGTGCGAATAGTTAAGTGAGGACAGTTATTCTTATTAACTTGATATCTTATACGTGCTTGCTTGAAACGGTCTCTCACAAGATGGAGAGTCATACTTAAGTTTATACTTGCTTACATAACTTGAGAAGTTTGAGCTTACTTAAGGTGATCTCCCACACAATGGGAAGAGCTAAACTTATTAACTTGCACTTGATTGGTTTGGAATTGAACTTGTATAAACTTGACTAAAAACATAGCTTACTGATGCATCATGATGATTTGCATAAAGTAAAGGCTGAGCATAAACAAATTAACTTAACAAGGAACTAGGGCTGATAATCGGTTGAACCGAAAACCGAACCAAAAATCGCGGTTATCAACCTAATCAAAAACCGATATCTGTGCCTGGGTGTCGGCATCGGTGGACTGATTCTGGGCTTTATGCTAACCGTCGATTGTCGGTTTCTAACCGAGATCAAACTCGGTGCACCGCTGCAACCGACAAACCTCTCATCTCCCTCTCCTCACCCCGCATCGGCACTTTCTCCCTCTCCCTCTCCAGCCTCCCACCAGGCCACCACCACCGCCCTCCACATCCCCAATTTCCCCCGCCCGACTTAGCCGACCCTTCTCTCCGAATACTCACTCCTCTGTTGTCGATTCCCACTCCTCCTCCCATTTTTAGTTTCGAATCTTTGCCCAGCAAATCCCAATTGACAGAGCGGAGTTGGGGGTTTGAGTTGGGGTTGACGAGCGGACGACGGACAGAGGGAGTAGGGACGAGGACAACGTGGAGAGTGGGAGAGCTGTCGGCGGCGCCCGACGGGTGACAGACGAGACGGCGCGAGGGGAGATTTGGTGGCGCCGCCCGGCGAAATAGGTTTAGGAGTCTTCTCTTCTTTCGCTTGGAGAAATGAAAGTCTAATGGGAGAGGAGGACCGGAGGAACCCTAAATCCCAAAAAAATACACCCGCTACCACACCATCTCCGATTTCCTCTAGAGTTCGAACCCTCTCCGCCGGCGCCGTAGCCGTCGTCATCGCCCTGTCGTCGTCGTCGCCCGCCTGCCAGTCCTCCTGTCGTGGTGGGATCTTCCTCCAGTTTCCTTCTCCGGCGGACAACACATACTAGTGGCCAGTCCTTCTCGATGGCAGGGAAGATGACGAGGAGAAGAAGACAGGCCCTGCGGTCTCGGCAAACCGCATCCAAAAATCGAAACTGCCGGTTGCGGTTGGCGGTTAACCGAAGACCCCATCGGTCTCGGCTTTGGTTGACACTGATGGGTGATTCTCTGTCTCGGCTAACCGATGGTGTGGTTCGGTTAAACCGAAACCGTACTGACTAACAGCCCCAATGGAACACATATATAAGGAATGATTGAAACATAAAACAAGAACCGTAGTGTATAGCATGAACTTAAATATATACACTGATAACAAAAACTATTCTAAAACCCATTTAACCACGCACCTCAGTAATCAGTCGATGAATCTCAAGCGTTGTTAAGGTGGAACTCCCCTGCCGCCACTTCTCATTGGACTACCATTCCATGTTTCCATACTACTGCTGAAGCTAACCCAACCCTAGAAGTCATTTTAACCTCAATTACATCCAGCAGGAATCGACTGATACCATATATAGGCTTTTCCTGCTCGCACTCCTCCAGTCCATCCCCTCCACCGTTGTGGTGGCCCTCGTGGAGATTCACTCACCATTGCCATCATTGTTACTTAGGTAGTTCGAGGATTTGACATTGCGTGCGCGTAATGGTAGTTGGGTTCGTGATGCATGAAGTGAGGGATGAGATTGGAGGAATTTCGGCTCCGCTCTTGCGTGAGGAGAAAAGAAAATGATGTTGATACTTGATAGGGTTTCTTTCGGCGCTCCCACCAGGATTAGTTTTGGGTTGGGATTTTGCTTAATTAAGATAATAATTAGGCCAAGGGTATTTTAGCATTTGTACCAAAATTTATCGGCCGGGTGTTACCATTAGGATTTAGGAACCAAATCGTCAATATCCTAAAGTTCAGTGATGTAATGGTGACTCAAGCCAGCATCGTCCTGCCACCAGCGAGTCGCGGAGCGCACAACGAATATATTCTTTTTAAAGAGCAACCAGGAGAGAGGAAGATTAGCTTCAACCGCCGGCAGACATGTCGAGAGCTCGAGTTTACGCTGACATCAACGTTCATCGGCCCAGAGAGTACTGGGACTACGAATCTCACACCGTTCAGTGGGGGTAAGTAAACTTTTACCATTCCTCTTGAAAACCCTAATTCTCGATTCAATTGCATCATTGCTTTTTTTTCCGATCCGCGACAAGGTTTCATGTTCTGGTAGCAAAACTAGGGTTACAGCTGAAATTTTCCTTTTTTTGACGTTTGGTTGTGTTTTTGGGACCTCATGATCAGTGATCAGAATGACTATGAGGTTGTTCGAAAGGTTGGGAGGGGGAAATACAGTGAGGTCTTCGAAGGTGTCAATGTCACGAATAATGACAAGTGCGTTATCAAAATCCTGAAGCCTGTCAAGAAAAAGAAGGTGACTTTTTTCTTTAGCGGTCAATACTCCATACCCAGTGAGTCATGTTTGTGGCTGTTATAGACTTATAGTTACCTGCTCCTGGTCATTGTAGATAAAGAGGGAGATTAAGATCCTGCAGAACCTCTGTGGAGGGCAGAACATAGTGAAGCTGCTCGATATCGTCAGGGATCACCACTCAAAAACCCCGAGCCTGATTTTTGAGTATGTGAATAGTACAGATTTTAAAGTTCTGTACCCAACATTCACGGACTATGACATTCGCTACTATATATATGAGCTTCTTAAGGTTGTTTCTATACGATAATCTCGCTTTTTTTTTATCAGTGTGTAGAAAAGATGATGATACCTTATTTTTATATGTAACTTCCTTTTATCTTGGTAAGTTCATGTGTAAAAATTCTGCTTTAATTTTCTTGTTGTTCAGGCACTAGATTACTGCCATTCCCAGGGCATAATGCATAGAGATGTAAAACCGCACAATGTGATGATTGACCATGAGCTGCGCAAATTACGGTTGATAGACTGGGGGTTGGCGGAGTTCTACCACCCTGGCAAAGAATACAATGTCAGAGTAGCTTCTAGGTATGTGTTTTATACTTATGAAGATCTCAAGAACTGAACTATATGTTCAAGTTAATCATTAGATGGAAGTGGGTGATCATTTATTCAATAGTAGGGTATTTTGCCTTACCATTTTGATGAGACATTTCTAATCATGTGGACTCTTATGTCATCTTGGGACAGTAGGGACCATTACTCTGGCTCGATGTGTTTTAACTTCTAAAATCTCTTAAATCTACTTGCAGAGATCTACTCTGCTAGTAAACTTCACAGTCTTCCGGATTTTACTTTGATGTTTTATACACTTTATCTTATTTTCTTGTTATAATTTTTACCCTACAACCAGAGTTACCTTTGGATCCTGTAACTGATCCCAATTGGTATTTTCATCTAGCAACTCCTTCCAATGTTAAAATATAATGTTGGTGTCTAAGTCACTGCAAACTCTCCGTACTTCTGTTTTATCATGAAGAGTTGTTGAAGTTTACCACAACTTGCGTGTTTACCATATTGCTAGCAAAAATGAACTGAACATTAGTGAAACCATGCTCCCGTCACTTTCTATTTATTTCGCAAGTTATTTCCCTCAGTCTTATATGATTCTGCTTTTTCCCCCTTTTAACTTGCATTCAGGTACTATAAGGGGCCAGAACTCCTTGTTGATTTACAGGACTATGATTATTCTCGTAGGATAGGCGACTGAATGTCCAACGGCCGTGGGGCCATGTAATACCCCATTTTCCTCGAGGCTTCCTCCTCGGCCTCCTCCTCATTATGGTTGTGAGCACAAGCGGCGGCTTCTTCTCTTTGGTTCTCTGCCATCTCAACTCCAACATCCACTTCTCCTTCAACTTCTTCAACTTTTTCTCAACTAACTCTGGGACACAATGGTTGTCCCCTCTTTCATTTTCTCCTCCTTGCTTCCGCTAACTCCCTCTCCCGAGCTAGGATTCGGAGAGTCTGGTGGATGTTCTCGGCAAGCGGTACTAATTGCGTTGGATTGCTCTGGGTCATGCACCTCCTTACACACACTTAGAGAACAAAACCATGTATAGCACAAGCAAAGCACTCAAACAAACAAAGCTGAAAATTAAAAGCTATATTAACACCAAACAACTTTTTCAAGATAACGGACCGAAGCTCCCCAACAACGGCGCCAAAAACTTGACTCGTCCCGAATATCACAATAATTTCCCACCTAAGGCCCAAGTATAAACCTTAGATGGGTGCAATATAGGCCAAGTATGTTTAAATATCAACCCGGACCGACCCGTGTACCCCTACTTTCGTTGTTTTGAGAATTATCTAGTGAATTGGTTTTAGGTTGAGAACTATGAGGTTTAAATCAAAACAAAGGTAAATGGTTTGAAAGCTCTAGGTGAGAAGGATCACTCGGGTGTCGCTTCACCCTAACTACTATCATGTCATCTGGACTCGAATGGGACGTTATGGGCAAGGCAATCATGAACTGCTAGGAGGTGCAACTATGGTCGAAGACCACACTCTCAATTGCCAAACCAAGGAATACATTACAGGCTCCAAGAGTAGCCCTCTTGGTTAAGGAAATTACAGGTTGACTTACCATCTCCCTCAAACCGATGGTTGGACGACTTAATCATGATTAACCTAGTTTTTAAATTCAAAATAGAGGTTTGCCCTACATTACCATAGGTAGGTGGCTTGTCAAGCCGAAGGAATCCCAACTCAATTGAGCCTCTTTTGGAAAGGGGGGTTTCCCCTCTAACCTAGGTTAGAATGACCAATTAGATTGCTAAGCACACACATGCACAATCATCATGAAAAATACCTCAATCATTAAATTAAACAACACCCATAAACAATCATTCAAGTCACACTACAACTACATGGCAAATAGTTAGGGTTTTACAACACCCAAGTGAAAATAGTACTACTCTATTCTAGAAAGGGGAAGGACACAAGAGGAAGAGGTAGAAACCATCATGGAGATGCCTCCAATATTTTCTAAGCTTGTGTTGATCTTCTCTTAGGGAGATTTTCCCAATTCACCTCTTGGAGCAAACCCTAGTCTTCCTTCTTCCTTGGTTCGTCCTTTCTCTCTCTAAAATCTGAAGAGGAAGACACTTTCTCACTCTTGAGCTCTCCCCTCTCTCTTCCTTTCAGCTTACATTATATAACATGATCGGGCTCAGTTCACGACCTAAGTTCACGGTCGTGAACTCTTCAACGCGTCCGTGAACACAGAACGCGATGTCGAAACATACCGCTTTGCCATAAGGAGTTCACGGTTTGGCCTCAATCTTCACGGTATTGTAGACCGTGAACTCATCTTGCGTCAATAACTACAGATTTCTCCCTGGAAGCATCGCGGTTCACGGTTTTGAGCTTCTGTTCACGGCCATAGCGGACCGTGAACTCCAATGCTAACCCGTGAACTCTGCCTGGATCACCCTCTTTGGATGGTCTTCACCTCTTTTCGTCCAACTTTCGAATCTGGGGCTGGTTTCACATGTTGGATCCTGAAGCACACTAAAATGCACAAAACCTAGCGTAAAACCACCCTTTTTGGAGTTCAAATGCTACAAACACCCAGGGAAACGGGGATAAAATGTGTGCAATTAGGCCCGAATCAACTACCCTTTCCCAAACTCTCCTGATAGCTTGGCAATCCCTTAAACAGTGAGCAATGGTCTTTGGGAAGTTGTGGCAGAGTGGGCACATATCATCCGAGGTAAGATGACGATCTTTCCGCAGGCTGTTGGTCATTAATCTGCCCTTAAGAGCTATCCAGATGAACAAATGAATTCTTTCCGCAATCTGCAACTGCTAAACTTTGCGTCACACCTTCTGATCTTGGTGATTGGATTGCAAGGCTGCCAGCTTGTACGCCGAGGTGGTGCTGAACATGCCATTCGCAATAGTATTCTAGAAGAGGCGGTCTTCCTCTTGAGATAAAGGGTCGTATATGCTAGCTCGGATCCTGTTGATAATCTCCTGAGGTAAATGGTTGTCCAGTTCCTCCACTTTCCAGCCATTATTGGGGTCCCATAAGTCTGCTACCTTCTTTTGTATCTCGACTAGAGTGATGGTTGAAGTTGTCTTCTCAATCAAGGGTTCCTGCAAAATCCAAGGATCCATCCAGAAATTAGTATTCTTCCCATTTTTTATATTATAGGCAGCACCTTTGAGTAAGAGGTTTGCAGTTTGGGAGAAACTGCGGCAAGCATGTGAACATCCCTTAGTATTACTCAGAACTTCGAGGCCCTTTCTGTCATGACCATATTTTATCCTTAGGACTCTGGCCCACAGCGCTTGATCATCAGTTGCAAGCTTTCAGGCTCCCTTTGGCTAGCATCGCTTGATTTGCTAGTATGGTAGGACGGATGCCGAGACCTCCCTGGTTGCGGGGTAGGGTAAACTGATTCCAGGCTATAGCGTGCATCTTAGTCATTCCTTCTTCTTCCCCCAAGATGAAGCTTCTATTACACCTGTCAATATCATTGTAAACACCACTGAGAATAAGCTCAGAAAAACATAGGGTAGATTGCAATGTTAGACGTTACATCCTTAACAAGAGTGGCGCGAGCGTCCATAGATAGATGTCTCGTCTTCCAGGCAGCCAGTTTCCTTTGAATTTTCAGAAGCATCTCCTTATATATGGATCTTGTAACTCTGCTATTGATTGCGTTCAAACTCAAATATCTACCAAGATTAGTAGTCAGGTTAATCTAAGCTCTGTTACTGAGTTGAAGCGCTCTGTCTCGGTGGATATTAGAAGAGATGAACATGACAGGTTATGGAGGGATTATTGACTACAAATTTATGCACATGATCCGGTCCCAATTTATTTCACCTTCCATTCTTTCCATAAAATAATTGGCGGTTTGTAATTGCCAATTGTCTCCAATTGGGAAAGTTCTTTTTATTTTTCTTTAATTGTCAATTTTTTTTTATGGAAAGAATGGAAGGAATTCCATGGGATACAAGCCGTAGTCATATCTTTCTTTAGAATATTGGTTCGAAGCCAAGCTGCAGTAGGGGCACTAACGAACTCATGCTGGTCTTGAGAGTTCACCACGCGCACCCTGAAGAAGGTTGCTGGAGGGCATTCACGGAATATGTGGGAGATGGTCTCTCTTTGGGACGAGCAGCTGAAGCAATCCGTCGACTGGGTGAGGTGTCTCTGGTATTGACATTCATTCGAGCTTATTTTCCCCAAATGAACCAGCCATATGAAGCAGCGAACCCGCTCAGGGACAGGCAGACCCCAAATTCTTCGCCATAGTTGCTGCTCTCCGATGTGAGTCGTGGACATTGAGATATGATACGCGCTCTTCATGGATAAGCGGCCGTTGTAGGTTGCTTTCCAAACAACACTGTCTTCGGTGGTAGCCAGCGGGTCTATCGCATAGGCTGTGATTCTTTGTTGAATCTCCTAGGGAAGGAAATCGTTGAATTTATCTGTAAGTCATCTCTCATCTTCATCCACATAATTCGCCACCTTGGCTTCAATTTCTTTCGCCGAGATTGGATGGGTCTCCATTTCCAGAAGAGAAGCCTACAAAAGCCAAGGATCATACCAAAATCGAACTATTTACCATTATGAATGTTCCAAGCTGCTCCCGACTTAAGCAGGTTTGCAGTCTTAGAGAAGCTCTTCCACGCAAGGGAATTTCCTTCACACTGTATAAGTATCTCGAGCTACTCCCTTTCCTTCACATAATTGATGCGAAGTACCTTGAACCAGAGCCTCTCTTTGTCATTGACAATCCTCCAACCTCCTTTGGCAAGAATGGCAAGGTTCACCGGTTTTGATGGGCGAATGCCCAACCACCAACAAGTTTAGGCTGTAGGAGCTTTGATCATGCCACCAGGTGCATTCTCTTCTTTTCCTCTGAATCACCCCATAGGAAGTCTCTGTTAATCTTGTCCAAAGTCCTGCAAACATAAACGTGAAGAAGTTCTATATGCATAGGGTAAATAGGGATCGAAGAGGAGATAACTTTAACCACCGTAATTCGGGCTGCCAGAGATAATTGCTTGGCTTTCCAGGGGGCCAGCTTCCTCTGAATCTTAAGGATGAGGTCCGAGTAGCGACCTCTACTGACCCGACCGTGTATAGCCCCTACTCCCAAGTATCTCCCAATATCCACTATTAACAGAATCGCAGGTTTCCTGCTCATTTGCCTTGCTCGCCCCCTGTCAATGTTAGCCAAAACAAAAATTGCAGTTTTGGA